GGATTGACTCCTTACGGTCAGCGAATATTAACACAGAATCCGACTTAGATTTTGCGAGTGCGTACGACTACCGTCCCGTTGTCCGCGGATTCGTTATTGAACCTAGGATCATTGTCATTAGTCTCTCGAGTATCTAATTACCACGGTTACTTGTCCGGTTCTATGGTAATCGTATTTGCACTAGCCAATGTCTTCTCTATTGCATAACGACGACGTGTAATCCAAACGAAGATTCGCTTTACGCCCCTAACCCTAATTCTAATGTACACCCGACATATATATATATATATATATATGTCCACTAAATAAATATATATTACTATTAAATAAGTATTAAACTACATTAATAAATTCCGAATTTAAGCACTAATTATATTTAATTTTATGTTAAGTTAAATGTATATAAAAAAATATTTATTAAGCTAACATAAAGAAACAAAGAAACTGTCATTTTTACATTTCATCAACAAAGATACAGTTTCTCACCTCTACAATTACTTCCCAGTACTATGTTTCTCTGTGGTTCATAGTTCTCTTCTTTTACAAAAATCATAGGCACAGCTTGAACATAGGAACAGCTGTAGATGTATCAATGAGAGTATCTACATGTAAAACAACAGAGGAATTATAAAAAAAATACATTGAAGTACATTAATTATCAATTTCTCAATGTATATTTTCATAACAGATACTGCTTTTATAACTGTTATGAACAAATAAACAGCTTTTTACTTCTGTAATTTTTTTCCAACAAAGCGTTCCCTTGTTTTTTAAACTTTGCCTTCTTCATCAAAATTGTAGAGACAATTCTTGGTTTTAAACGTTTTCTATTACTATAATGCACTACAAAACTAACTTCAGGAAAGTGATCAGAACACAATAAACTACTATCTTTAGGCTTCCATCCTTCCAGGCCTATTAGTTTATACAATGCTTCATCTTGTGGAAATCTACATATAATTGTATAGAAATTAAAACAGAAAATATCATGATTATTGAAAATTGAATAGAGGTTATGTTATCTTTACGTACTTGTGTAATGTTGCACTCAAATTTTTGCAAAATACACATTTACCCATCATTAGAATTAAACAGGAAATCTTCGCTTGTATAAAACATTCGTACAAACATTACAGAACACAAAATATAATGGCTATTGACCAAACATAAATAACAAGATGTTCAAAGTAATGTTAAAAACTTAACTATATAAATAGATACATATATGTATAGACACGTACATATAGTACCAGAGAGGAAATTTCATTTCTGACAGTACTTATAGACACAGTCACGCCCTCGGACAACTTTTTTGATGTCAACACAAAATCATTTACGTGATATCAATATGGGCATGTGAACAAATTAATGACGAAGAGGAAATGAGAGTGCTCACACCCATAGTTCCAGTTGTTCTATAGGAGCTGCACCATACGGCGAAGTGCCAAGTGCTGAAGTTAACTAAAGTTAGCATATGCACGAATCTATAAAATCTTTTTTTTTTTTACGTGGAAAGAACCTTCATAGGCACCCCGCGCTCTCCGGGGAGAGTGCGTGGGGTAGTGCCAGATTCATACCGACTAAAACCTCCACGATGACCTTCCGAAGCACATCAGGAAGGGCCCTTTTCTTTTTTTAATCGAGGAGGGGAAAATGCTGTTACGCATGCCCAGATTGGACTATGTGGGACTCGGCCGATGGCATTGCCATACCCACTAAAAACCCCTCCCCTCTCCGTTTTTCTTCTGAGCAAGCATCAACTCCGGAACCGCCTTACGGCATTACTTCAAGGTTGGGCTTAACTACGCACCGCTCCCTCATACTTGAGTCTCATTTCTTCTTTTTATTTCTCTAGTTCTCCTCCTCTCTTCGAATTTCTCTTGCGTCATTCTTGCTAGCATAATTTTTCTGCACAAGACCTGAAATTTTGCCCAGTTGTCTTCCTTCTTCACCACTAGCTCCATTAAATTTTCTGTTGTTAGTGGTGTGCCGACGTAATTTTCTAATTCCGTTCTCTCACGTATCCACCTTGTACAATGGGAAAGCGCATCTTCAGCATTATCGCCTTCACCATTGCAGTCCCAACATCTGGAGTGGTCCTCCTTGTTAATCATTTTTCGATAGACATTAAAAATTCCATGCCCTGTCAGAATCTGCATGGCGAAGTGATCAATATTCCTCCTATATCTCCTAAATAAACATACATCCGCTACCAGTCGCTTCGTCCAATTGTCCTCTCTATAAAATCGCTACTCCTCCTTCCATTTCTCCACGATACGCTCCTCCACTGCCATAATCTTCTCTTGATAAACCAAGGTGGCTCCAGCCCTTGAACGGGTGTTGTACTGCTCCTGCTGATCCTCCTTTTTAATATGAAATAAATGGGCATAATGCCCATAAGCATGCATAGTGCTGCATGGGACACTGTACGGGAGGCCGTCGAAACTCTTGTCAATGCGGCCCTTTGGCTCCTTTTCAAGATGTTCCTATTCTTTTTAATTTCTAATACCTTGGCCCACACAGGCGCCGCATATAACACCACCGATTCCCAGACCCCGGTGGGTCCGTTGACATTGGGGAGCAAAGATCTAAATGCTCTCATAAGGGCGTCGGCCTTCCCGCACACACGCCTATCGCATCGGATAACTTCGTGTTCGCCTCTTCCTGTTTAGCCATGTCCAAGTATTACCGTTAGGTCGTCTGATCGCTGTCCCTCGTATACCATGTACACCGACCGCCTTTTTTGGATTAATCTTCTTGCCGGCGTCCCGTAAATGTTCCACCATAATCCTGCAGCCATCGTCATCAACATCATCACCTTCGCTCAGATTTTTAGACCTAGCGTCATTACTTCCCGTGGCCCCCGTCAGGAAGAGCTCGTCAACTATGTCACGGGTCTTATCCACGTGGAGGCCGTCCGTTCTCGTACTCCGTACTCTCGTACTCGTATTCTCGTACTAGCCATTCTGGACATGATAGCCCTATACGATCTCCCCCATGGATCCCGATCCAGTGTCGCACAGAATTTCTTTCAACACCTTTCCTTGGCGTTCCTGATCATCCTGGCTAACTTCTTCTTGTTCGCCTTAAATTCTTCGCTCAATCGGGCCACGTCGTTTGTGCTTTTCATCCAGGCTCTCTGAGCCTTTCTCCTGCTCTTCATCGTCATTCTTCTAAAATTGCCGATTTCGCCACTGCACCAATAGTTGATGCATCTCTTCCCTAATGGTGGATAAAACTTCTTCAATTCCAAGGCACTTGTCATCTCCAATGCCTTCTGCAAACGACCACCATGTGCCTCCTAGTCCCTCTTATTGCCTTCTAATAAATTATTATAATTAACGTCAAATGCTAAAAGAAATTTCTTCATGTCCGTGTCCTTTGCTGAGTATCTAAAGCTCTCGGCATTACGCCTTGTCCTTGTAGTCTTAAAATTATGTAAAACGTAGCTGTGGTTTGATGCTGACCAGACTTTCGGCATCTTCCCACCGACATACTTCCTCGCTAGTCCCTTGCTCCCCTGTTAATTACGTCAATGAAACTTGTTCCTCCGTTTCTAGAGAACGTCTAATCCGCGCACGTCATCCTAATTGGTACAATTCCATTCTTCATTATCATATCCAGGAGGCAAGTTCCCCTGCGGTCATTCACCCTGCCACCCCACGCGGTAGCCTTTGAATTGAAGTCGCCGGCAATCATCATCGTTGGATAACTCCTCTTAGCTACACGTATCAATGTGCCCAGTTCATTGACGTAAGAACTGAACTGTTCCATACTCACATTGATATCGACGATGCCATCTTTAGCGATCAATGTAGTGCCGTCAGCTAGTTTTCCCTTGAAGAGGGTCACCAATAGCGATGCGTTGCTCTTGTCATCGTTGAACCAGTATCTGGTGATATGGCTCCATAATGAACACTATGCCATCTCTGGCTTCGCAGGCATACTGGTATATTAATTCTTCTGCAAGTCTGCACCAGTTCAAATTATTAGTACCTTTATCTTGCACGTATTATGTCATTCCTTCTTCTATCCTTCATGGCCGGGCATGCCAGGGATCCGGTGATATGCTTCAGGATTCTTCTATTTCCATTGGCGCAAATAGCGCACTTAGGCTCCTTGATACTTGATTAATGGTATTCACCTTATCACCACACTGCCTGCACAGCTCCTTACCTGGGCTTACCGCCGTACACCTGGCAGCATTATGCCTCAACATGTGACATCTATAACATCTCACTATGGTGGACAAAATCCTAGCCGTCGTTGTTGTCAGCCCTGTTTCAATTCTAATCGGCCTGTCTTTGGGTACGGTGCTCGCCGGCAGCACAACTACCGCCTGCTGCGTTCCTCATGGCGTCATGGCCTTAAGGACTTCACTTGTATACATTGCTCCTCTTTAATGTCAATCCCGTTGCCATATCCTGCATTAGTTCTTCCCTTATAGTTATCTGATCTATATTTTTAATTTAATTTTATATTTTCTCTGAGAGGAACTATCTCCGTACCCTGCCGCATAGCTTTCTTGAGACTGTCAGCGACCTCGCCCGTCGTTACTTTTGAGGTGTAAGTGTTGCCCGTGACAATTGTAGCCGCTGGCTGTAGATGTCGCTGCTGGTGTACTGCTGTATTTTTTTCCTTTTTAAGAATCATGGAAGAAAAATCGGACCACGGGTGCGGAGATTTGAACCCGGGCCCCGAACGTTCGTAACCTAAGGCGCTAATCACTGCGCTGTCGTCGTCCGACTCTAGTTAGTGTCGAGTGGTGGTATTTGTACTGTCGAGTGCCGCCACACTTTACTGGTGAGCTCGATCAGGATATGCCCGGCTCTGGTCTTCCTCACTGTTGTCGTCTCCTCAATGGCGCTCTTCACCTTGGCCACCTTCCTGTAAGAGTCAATCCAATTGGTGTCCTGTCCGACCTTAACGAGGATCGCCTCGCTTCTTCTTCTCGGCATTCTCTCTCTGGTTACTCTTACCGAAGTCCTGCCATTAAGCCCCCCTGTGCCCGTCGAGCTCGCTATTCGGCTTCGGACTCTCCTTCGTCCCTCGAAGCGCGTCCATTCAGATTCCACATCTCTTAACATTTCCGCGTATGTCATCTCGTCCAGCCTCCTAGGTGTTTTGCTACAGTTTGTCTTTTTCTTAGCCAAGGGAGATATCCCTTTACGCTTAGCCGACTGACCAAACTCAGTCTGGCTTGCCACCGATACCCTTTGCCGACTGATCTCATTCTGCTCCATTGGAGTCATCTGCGTCGCGACCGTTCTACTGTCACGCCGTTCATCATCCGTTTCTTCGTTGGAGTCTGTAGCGGCACTCGGCACCAACTAGTGTTGGACGACGGCAGCGCAGTGGTTAGCGCCTTAGGTTACGAACGTTCAGGACCCGGGTTCAGATCCCGGCGACCGTAGTTCGATTTTTCTTTCACGATACAAAAATGGGAAGAAAAACAGTAGTACCCTAGCAGCGACATCTACACCGGCAGCCGAATCTATCTCGGCCTCTACACCAGCAGTAGCGCACTATCGCAACAATCATGTCAGAATTTAATCTCGAAATTAAGATTAATAATCTGCGGAAGACACAATGTTTATGTTGAAATTACAGAATATATAAGTGAGTGTTGTGGAATGCTGACAGTTGGCTAGTTATTCTCAGACTGAGGGGGCACGAGGCGGCTACGGGTTCTCAGGGCATAGGACCACGCCCTCGGAAACCCCGATGAATCTGATGTTCTCCTATAGCCGGATGGTGACTGGTCGGCGTTTTCGGCCCCCGCCAGTTTGCCGATCCGGTGCGGAGAACTTCGGAGAAGTTGGTGGGCCCGTATCTGCCAAGACCACTCACCTCACCTTCTTGTGGGACTCCCCGTCAACATGCGCCGGCTTTGGCGTGATGGGCGACCGTCCGTTGGGTGCGCGCGGGCCCATCGGCCCATC